GACCAAAGCTTTGTTTCATTTTTTTCTTTTTTCTTTTTTTATGAGTTCACGACTGCAACTTTTTTTTTTTTTTTTTTTTTTTTTTTTTTTGGAGTATTTGAAGCACGCCCTAGCACTTGTCCTCGCCAAGCATCATTCGGCCTCGCTGCACTACTCACCACATGCGCAAAAGACAAAAAGAAGGGGGTGTATCTTCCGATGTTCTAGGGGAAGCTTCTTTCTCATTTTGCAAATTCGGTAGAGTAGTGGGGCGAGGCATATGGGGTACTACGAAGTATGAAAAAGGCACTGCAGCCCAGAAAAAAAAGGAAAAGAAAGGCTTCAAAAGAAGCCCTCAGGTATTCAGTCACGGGGGGATCTGAAGGTATGGTGGCATGGTGGCCCGGGAGGGGCGGGGGGRGGGGGGKCCCACTTCCTCCGACTTTGGGCCCCGTGAATCCGGAAGGGTAGGGTAGGTGTAGGGTAGAGGGGGGGGAGGGGTCCCACTTACACGATCCACCGAATTTTGGCCCCGAAAATCCCGAGGGGTAGGTAGGGGGCAGGGGGGTCCCACTTGCACCTCGTTTTCGTGTATGGCCCTGTATATCTGTATGTGTAATCTACCGAATCCAGCCTTTATCCAGGTAAGTGGCACCTGCCCCCCTTCGTCACGGGCCTTGGCATCACCGCCTCGTGGCAGTGGTGTGGGCTTTGTGGAACGGGTGTGGAGATAGTTCATCAGCGCACCCAGACAGCCCTAGCAGGATCTTGGCCTGCATTGTGGGCCAACAGACACTGCTCATTGATGTCCGGGTAGTTGGGGTCCGATTCCCCCCAGTTCCTGCAAGGGGAGCGGCAGAGTCCCACCTGCCAGCGGACCTGGTCTGCCTAGGGAGGAAGACGGGCTGGTGGTTTTCACCATGCAGCCTATGAGAAAGGCCAGGACGATAGATGGGTGCGCACAGGGGTGGGTGGAGGGGTCTGGCCAATGAAGAACACGAGGGTAGGGCGAAAAAAGCGGACAACACATGCGGCGGGGAAAAGCTGAATACGCACAGCACAGATAGCGGGATAAGGACGGAAGAGAGCAGCAGTCAAGTTGCCCTGTGGCAACAGAACCTGGTGCCCACATCCCTCAAGGGGGCTCTGCCAAGGATTTCAGGAGTTCCAGGTAAGAAATGGAATCTGAGTGCAGTGGTTCCATAAATAATTCAGAACCCTAGAAGGATTGCTTAATCAGAGGAAATGCAGAAAGAAAAAAGTCTTAGAAGGAAGCAGAGCAGTGAGAGCAGTAACTGATGCGTGTGCCAACGAATGAAATACAAAGGGGCTCGTTAGACACTCCTCGGGCGCTCAAAAATCCCGAGGAAATGATCGTTCCATCTGTCCTCGGAGAGAGTTCCTTGAAAACCGATGTGAAAACATTTCCTCGGGGTGTCCTCGGGGCGTCCTCGGGCCACAGCCATTTGGCTGCGCTCCCCAAGGTACCTCACGAGGTCCCTCGGAGTGGGAGTTTCCGCGAAAATCGGGACAGCGGCGGCAGCCTTCGACGACGGCACAGTTTTGTAGTGTGGTACAACGGTGGTCCAGCCGAGGTGCGGGCGGACATTACCGCCCGGCAACGTTCGACTTCGGTGGGGACAGCGGCAACGGTAACGAAGAGTGGCGGACGGGGTTCGCGGAGGGCCCGAGGTGACCCGGCCCCTCGGGCATGCGGGCGGGAAACGGACAGGCCTCCAACGGGCAGCCGTTTCGAAATTCGTCGGGCTGTACGTCCATCGCCGAGAGCAGAGGTCCGCAATGTAAACCGGCGGAGGGCGTCATCACCCATCCCTTGCTGTCTGCTGTTTGTCGCCCTCAGGTTGGCCGTTATGCTGAGGTTGTCTTACATGGCCGACGTGTTCCGCAAGCTACCGCTGCTCCTCCTCGTCGTGATTCTGCTTGTCGTTGTCGTCTTTGTTCACGTGTGCATATTGGGGAGGTTGCCTTCACGTACTCACAGGAAAGGAGGGGCGAGGAAGAGCGTGGCCATGGACGGGAGGCGGCCGACTCTGAGGACGTTGTCCGCCCCTTATCCCGGCGACCGGGCTCCGATCTGTGCCGGTGTAGACAGAAGGGCGGCAGGTCTGTCACTGTACGAAGGACTGCCGCCTCACTTGCAACCACTGCCCGATTCGGACGAGGGGGGGGCGGAGGTGGACGTGTCGACGACAGTTCCGCTGGGTAGCGGGTCTACCCAGGAGTGGACGGGTAGCCAGTTCTATGATCGCCACGGGGCGAAGTACGGGCAGTCGTTCACTTCCCTCCTCCACGACGGCGACGAGGAGGAGGATTGCCTCCCCCCTGTCGATCTCACATTTGGCCTCCGGAGCGGGAGCCCGTCTTCTGTCACGCGCACTGTGCTCGTGAACCCTCATCCCGACGACGGCGCGGGGCAGGTCACATTCGGCGGCAGGGGCACCAGGGGCGGAGCGGCGGCAGAGGTGACGTCGGGGAAGACGACGGCATGGCCTCGAACGCAGCACAGGAGGCCATGTAAACAACTCTCCCGCCGCCGCCCGCGG